CACACACACACACACACACACACACACACACACACACACACACACAAGCCGAAAAAAGGCATGGCGCTCAGTGCGCACCCTTGCACAGTAGCGCGTCTCCGTGCGCTGTGCGCACGGCGCACCTCGTGACATGCGCGCGCAGTGTCACCGCGCGCATTCCACAGGGCGCACCGCACCAGTGCGCCGCAAGAATAATGCAAACATATGTGCATGCCCTGCACCCATTCAACCTAATTCTCCCCTACGTTTCTCCCGTTAACTTGTTTTTACCTTGCTCGCACGTTTTTTACCGCACAACGCTAATTTAGATGGATTATGGCAAAATAAGAAAAAAGGAGCCAAACCAAGTAGCCACTGTCCCAACTAGTTACCATTGTCGTGACTACCCTTGACCCTGTGCAGCCGGATTCGAGCTCAGGACCTGTTTTGTAACACTTACAAGTTTGCTGTTCATCCACATTCACGTGCTGTGTACTTGTATTTGAACAGTACGTGCCTCTCGACTCAACTCAACTATATGACTTGGATGGGCCGTTGAACTTCAGGAAAAAAACACCCAACAGCTGTATTCTGGAATCTACAAACTGAGAAAGGACAAAGGATGCAAAACAGAAGAAAAGAGACGAAAACGCAGGACGACCAAAAAACGAAAACGCAGGACGACCAAAAAACGAAAACGCAGGACGACCAAAAAACGAAAACGGCCAAGAAGAACCAGAAGGACGAACCAGAAAACACTTGCTCCACAGAGGTTCCCTGTCCCATCGGTCCACACGGGTGTTGCCGGCCATTACCCGAGCCCCCCCTTACATTTTAATAATATAGAGAAGATAGGATAAGCTAAAACACAGAACAAGCAAATCCTGAAACCCCTACAGGAGCCCGAACATCCTCCCCTGTTAAAAAATCCATACGAGAGACTTTCACACTTAGTGCCGGAAAAGAATGGTGTCATTCCCTGTCCCATTGGTCCACATGGGTGTTGCGAGCCGTTACGCGAGCCCCCCCTTACACTTTAATAATATAGAGAAGATAGGATAAACTAAAACACAGAACAAGCAAATCCGGAAACCCCTACAGGAGCCTGAACATCCTCTCCTGTTAAAAGTTCCATACGAGAGACTTTCACACTTAGTGCCGGAAAAGAATCGTGTCATTCGCTGGCATTTGCCGCACCAACCTCCCAACCACCATCACCTTGTGAGTTTTTGCGGCTTTTGCCTTTACAAATGCTCTTGCGTTTTGTTCTGTTTCTTTGACATACTAGGAGGGTAACTGACGGATTTTGGCAGACAGAGTGAGTTCTCGCGGAATTCTTATGTGAGGACAGGGTATGCACTGAGTTCTGATGTACAGACAGACAGTGTACTACTAACAGACTCTGGACAGACAGACAAAGGTATAAACCAGGCCAATCAATAGTCATCGACAGCTGGTGTATGGATTTTGTTGGAGTCAAACCAGCGACGTCACCTGCAGGCCGGTTTGGAGATTCCCTTACGAGGGGCCACCGGGTGTGACGGTTTTGGAAATACCCTGATTTACCAAACGTGAGTGGCTTGTGTTTGGATATAGGCCTGATACGCGCGGACCGAGAGTTATTAGGCCGAAGTAACCTGCTGACCTACCTGGGAGGAGAAACAACTTGATTGATAGGCAGTCGTCCCTTTTGGGGTCCAACGACAAGGATTCCCCAACATGGGATGTACAGAGACATGGAATCTACGCTGGGTTAGTGGAAATGGTGAAGTACACGGGCGAACACAGACGAGAAAACCCCCGAGGAGTACCACTTGGCAGCAGTCAAACCTCGGGTTTGAGGAGCCATCACCCACAAGCTGCACTTTCAATCTCATGTCAGCAACTATTGACTGTCGTATGCGCATGGACAATGCATCCACTTTCGCAGCGAGCTTGTACTTCTGTTTTGCTTTGCGTGAGTGATGATGCATGGACTTCCGCAACAATCACTCAACATGTTCCATCATTTGTTTACATACGTAGTAAGGGAAAAATTGTTCCGAAAAATTGAATAAACTTATAAACAATAATTCTGCCATTTTATTAACACCAGATGCATACAATGTGATGCGAACCAGCGCACCTTGTATGGGACGCTGGACCCGTTTTCCAGCAGGTGTTGCTCCCCACCAATAGGACCGGAGCCACGGGCACCCCAGGGGACCACCCTCGGCGAGGTGATGTCTCCGGGAACAAAAAAAAAAAAGCAGGTCACGCATATGTGGCATACGGCGCAGCCACACGGGCCTGCAGGGCCCGACCAGCGTTAACAAGGGCCCTGAGTCTTTTCAGCCTGAAACGGAGGGCCATTTTCAGCACAGGCCATTTTTGGCCTGTTTTCAAGACAACCCTTGGTTGAACTTCAACGCCAGGGTCTGGCACGTTTTGGCATTGGCAAGAGCAGGCTCCTGGACGGGCCAGCACTATATAAGACTGGCCCGCCCTACAGGCTGCAGACAGTCACGAGGTAGTTCCTAGGAACTTCCCAGGCACTTCACGTGCAGGAGGCAGGAGGCAGTCTTCAGTATTCGGCAGCAGCACTCTGGAGGAGCGCTGCAGTAGTAGTAGTAGCGTTAGCAGTAGTCTTCAGCGCTGGGCGCTATTAGGAGCTAGAGGAGTAGTGGAGAGGGAGAGACGGTTGGCGGAGGCCAGGGAGACTTACCTGTGGCGCCATAGCTCCAGCTTCGTCTTCGAGGTCCCTGCAACAAGGCGCCACCTTCACAGGTTAGTACTGGACTGAGAGAGAAAGAGTTCTTCTTCTTCCTCTTCTAAGTCCACCATCTCCTCCTCCCCCGCTCGCTACCTAACTTCTCAGTACCTGCAGACTACGAGAGAGAGAGAGATTGGTGACTTTGGGACTTGACGACACTGGATCCAGACTCGACATTGGGATTCAGACATTTGACGAGGGATTATTTGGGGCCTGTGCCAAAGACTTGGTGTTGACGACATTTCCATCTTCCCCTCTTCTTCATCTAACCCCCCTCTTCTTCGTCTGTGTATGGTTGGGGACTGGCGCATTCCTCCTGTGTGAGCGCCAGGCCCCTTCACACCATGGAATGATGATGATGTATGTTTGGGCTACATTGCGACATTGATTGTTCGGATCATTGGTATTTAAGCCTTCCGCTGTGTTATCTTGTACTTTGTGAGAGAGGTCGGTTCTTGTTCTGGTCTGCACCTTTATGGTTTACGACACATATGACCGCAAAGAATTGCCCCATACATAAAGACCCAAGGATTACAGGGGAAGCAGGGAAAGAAAAAAAAAAAGAAGAAAAAAAAAAAGATGACATATAGGGAACCTCCCAGAAGAGTCTAATCAGCCGGCTGGACCAGCTCAGAGGAATGAGGCCATTGATGTTAGCTGCGCCGACCTTGACTTTCAGTAGCAGTTGCGGGTTCAGGTTGACGTTCAGGTTTCAGGGCAAGTTTTCAGTTGTGGATTTGATTTTCAGTTCGCTTCACTTTCCATCGAGTTATGAAAAAAAAAAAAAAAAAAAAAAAAAAAAAAAAAAAAGGTCAAGGAGTTGGGTTCCTGACACTCAAGTCAAGGAGTTAGGGGTTGTTCACACTCAGGTTAAGCAGCCATACCCTCCCTTTCGGGAGCATTCCACGAACAGCATGCTCAATTATCCGCTCAGGCAGCCTCTGTTGCAGAGCTTGAAATGTCTCCTCCTTCATTCCTCCTGGCCTTCCTGAGTGCCTCCGATAAATCTTCTGCAGATTCTTCCTACCCGTCACCTTCACCTTCTCTGCATTCACCTGATGCCCGGCACGCACACAAGAAATAACAAAGGCAGCCAAAATCAGCAGTTAGCATCGCATAGTGCAAGGTGCCTGGCACATCAGGCCATCCATTCCCACAGCGTGAATGTGTGGTGAGGAGAAACATGGTCTCACAAATGAATGACCTTCAAGGACTTCTCGCTTAGGGACAGAATCCCTAAACCCCTGAAAGAAGGGGAGAAAGTTGGGCGACTGTGGCATTCTGAGTTCCACACGGGCCCTACCGGGCCCGACCAGGTAGGACTAGGGCTTGGTTAGGGGGTATTTAGGTCCAGATAGGCCCTGTATTGTTTCACCCAGATTAGGGCCCGTAGGTCCGTAGGCCCAGTTTTAGGCGCCAGATTTCAACTCGAGGCACATCGGAGGCTGGACCAGCACTATTTATAGCTCGTCCGCCTCAGCCTCAGTAGGCATTTGTTGAGATATTCTTCGGGTAGTAGTGTAGTCGAGGATAGGGTAGAGCGATAGACTTCCAGCGCTGGGCACTGTGTTAGGGTTTCAGCCACGAGCTAGATCTGCAGTCTACTGCAGCGGAGGTTAGGGTGAAATCACACTACGATTATTCAACTTGTCATGTATGCAAACAGCGAAACAGCAAATTGGCGACAGGCGCCCACTCAGTACTCAAGATATCGTATCCACATAAGAGTTCTCTTCAAACTGGCTATGGCGACTGAGCGCCCACACAACTCACTGTTCGCACTCTGGATCACCCTGGATGTCCCACACGCAACACTCAGTATCACACTTCACACACACACATGCTAGGCYAYAGCWATGGCAGCGCTAGCTGCCACTACCTATCGCTGCACTCTACTCCTCTGCCCACTTCGTCTTCGGGCACTCTGCAGACCTCCTCGCACARGCTGCTAGGCAGCGCTTCCACATGGCATCCGCAGGAATGAATGAATGAATGGACGCAGCCTCTTGATTTATACTTCTGTGCTGCATTGGTCTGCCTTGTGTCCCTGGCCCATGGTGCACACAGTTCCCCCCGTGGTACTTGCTGGACCGGNTATGCTGCCCGACTCGTTCCTTCGCTGGGTTCTCAAGCTCAAGGACAAGATGTGTGTGCGGCTTCTTCTCCGTTCGGCAGCAGCAACAATGGTTCTTCAAGGGATTCGACGCACGAGTTCAACATAGAGGTCTTGGACCCGTTGACATCCGAGGATTTTGCATGGCTTCCTCTCCCTTCCACAGGCTGCTTGTCGGGACCGCAATGCACAGCACTATGCGCCCATCTCCACACATACTTAGTTTTCTATGCACCACCATCTTCGCCGACGGATGGCGAAGCTGCGGTGGGGGACATCCTTGCGTATGTTACCAAAGTGGCCCGCGAGTTTTGCATGCAGCGGTGCGATGATAACAACGCACCGCTCCTTTATGTCCGCATTCAAGTTGGGCAAGCGTCTTGCAACACTTTGCTGGATAGCGGCGCGAGGCAATTTCATCAGCCAGTCCTTTATCCCAAGGGCCGGCCGTGGCGCACAAGTTCGAAGGAAGTCAAACCCAACGGTGATCAGGTTGACGGACGGTCGGACGCAACAACTCCTCGACCGCTACATTGAAGTTGTGCCGGTTTATTTCGCGCCTCATGCATGCGAACCAGTGACGTTTGACGTCTTGGACACGGACTTCGACATCATTTTGGGGATGCCTTGGCTTGCAAGTGCCGATCACACGGTTAACTTCCATCAGCGGACACTTACCGTTCGCGACGCCTTCGGCGCCGAACTACCGTATACCATTCCTCTTCCACACTCCTCGATCCGGTGCCAAGTTGTAACGGCCAAGTCTTTTCCGCCACTTGCGCTTACGAGCGGACCGACGAGATAGGCCTATGTTTTCTACCAGTCGCCGCGACGACCGAATCCTCACCTACGGACTTGTCTTCGGACCCACAAGTCATGCGGCTGCTCGACGAGTTCACCGATATCTTCGAGTCTCCTACCGGTGTGGTGCCGGATCGGCCGATCTCCCACGAGATCATTCTTGAGGCCGATGTCGTGCCACCGAAAGGATGCATCTATCGCATGAGCGAGGAAGAGCTCGCGGTTCTCCTCACTCAACTCGACGATCTTTTGGACAAGGGCTGGATCTGCCCTAGTAGCTCACCATGCGGTGCGCCAATTCTCTTCGTACGGAAGAAGAACAAGGATCTGCGCTTGTGGATCGATTACCGCAACCTCAACGCACAAACCGTCAAGAATGCGGGACATCTTCCGCTGATTGACAACCTTCTCGACCGTTTGGGCGGCGCAAAATTCTTCTCGAAGCCAGACTTGAAGTCGGGCTACCATCAAATCTCGATACGCCCGCAAAATTGCTACAAATCCACGTTCAAGACATGGTACGGGCATTTTGAGTGGATCGTTATGTCTTTTGGCCTCACCAATGCCCCGATGACCTTTCAAGCGGCAATGACCAACAAGTTTCGTGCGATGTTGGACCGGTTCGTACTAGTCTACTTAGACGACATTCTCGTCTATAGCCGGACATTGGAGGATCATCTTGAGCACCTTTGACAAGTGTTGGAGACGTTGCGCCGCGCCAAGTACAAAGCCAACCACGACAAGTGCAAATTTGTCCGGCAAGAGGTGGAATACTTGGGCCATTTTGTCATACCGGAGGGCATCAGTCCGTTGTCGGACAAGATTCAAGCCATCCAAGAGTGGCCGGAGCCGAAGACCGTCACAAATGTTTGTTCCTTCCTTTGCTTAGCTGGCTACTATGAACGCTTCATCAAGGGATACTCGAAGATCGCGGCTCCTTTATCCAAATGCAAGGACCGGCCATTCGACTTCGACGACATTGCACGGACTTCCTTTTTGGCTCTCAAAGCCGCATTGCTATCCGCGGAGGTGTTGCGCATCTACGATCCGCTTTTGCCGATATGTGTCACTACGGATGCGTCCGGCTATGGCATTGGTGCCGTCTTCGAGCAACATGACGGTGTGGACTGGCACCCGATTGACTTCTTTAGCAAGAAAGTGCCCGCCGTGTACTCGATTGACGACGCACAAAAGTAGGAATTATTGGCCTTCGTACACGCGCTCAAGCGCTGGCGGCATTTTCTTCTCGGTCGGCGGCAGTTCCGATGGGTAACGGATAACAATCCATTGGTCTTCTACAAGATCCAAGACACGGTCAATAGCACCTATGCCCGTTGTATGGCCTTCATCGACCAATTTGACTTTTTCCCCGACCACATTCCGGGCAAGTCAAACCGTTTTGTGGATGCTCTTTCACGGCGTCCGGACCATTGTACTGCAGTCTACTCAACTTTTGATATTAATGACGACTTGCGGGACAACTTCATCCCTGGCTACAAAGTCGACCTCGAGTTTTGCAACAAGTACGCAAATTGCTCCTCTCCTAATCCGGCGCCACCGCACTATCGGATCCATGAGGGGTCCTTGCTCGTCCACTTAAGAGGGAAGGATCTTCTCTGTGTGCCATGAGATTTACATTTGCGCACACGGCTTCTTGGCGAATTCCACGACGCTCCCGCTACCGGACACTTTGGCGTCAATCGTACGATTGGCCGACTCCGCAAGCGCTTTTGGTGGCCCGATCTTCTCCACGACGTCACACGCTATTGCGAATCATGCGAGGTTTGCCGACGTTGCAAATCCCGCAATCATCATCTGTACGGCGAGTTGCGACCGTTACTAGTCCCCTTGCGGCCAAGGAAAGCGATTGCCATGGACATTACCGGCCCGTTCCCCAAGCACAAGACCGGAGTGGATGGGATTCTCACGGTGGTCAACCAACTCACCAAGTTCGCCATGTTTTTGCCTTGCCGCTATCATGCTAAGGCACCGGAGTTGGTCGAGGTTCTTTACACCGGTTGGATTCGAACCAAGGGTTACCCCAAGAAAATGGTTTGCGACCTCGACACTCGGTTCATGTTCGATTTTTGGTTAGCGCTCATCAAACAATGGGGCTCATCTCTCAAGCCAAGTTCGGTCTGCCAGCCCCAAACCGATGGCCAAACGGAGACGGCGCATCAGACCACACAGGTTCTCCTTCACACTCTCATCCGTCCCGACCAAAAGGATTGGGTTGAGTGGCTGCCGGATGTCGAGTTGGCATACAACTCGTCCATCCACCCGGCTATCGGGATGTCGTCCTTCGATTTCGAGCACGGCTCGCTGGTCACTTCTCCGTTGGACACAATCATTCCACGAACAGCCGAGAGCGAAGACCATCTTCTTTTCTTGCGACGGATGCAAGAGCAACTTGTCAAGGCACGCGACAAGATGGGCAAGACGCAGCAACGCATGAGCCAACAGGCCAATCGCCAGCGTCTTCCTTGCCCATTCCGCGTCGGCGATCTCGTTTGGGTTTCCGCCGCGGAATTCATCCCTGAACAAGATATCTCCCGCAAGCTCCTTCCGAAATGGATGGGGCGTTGACCGATTGTGGCACCCGTTGGGGATGCACCCGAAGGACCTTCCTTCACCATTCAGGTGTCCGCCCACTTGCCCATCTACCCGGTCTTTCATTGCTCCATGTTCGCTCTCTACACGCCAAAGGAACATGACGATTTTCCCGGACAACGATCGGAAGACCCACCCTCTATGGACGGTTTTCAAGAGGTCGGCAACATCATCTCCCAGCGATGCTACGGCAATAGGCCAACCGAGTACTTGGTACACTTTGCGTACTGCAGTCACCTAGTTCACCGTTGGTTAACTCGTGCGGAACTCCAAGCAACAGCTCCGGATGTTCTCGCACGCTACAAACGCAAGATGCAAGGCAAGCGGGTATCTTCGGCTCCTCGTCGCACCCACATCCACGTTCCACCTTCAGCTCGTCAGCTTCGACCTCACCCAGGCTTGACTTCATAAGGAGGGGGATTACATGTTGCGTCTGCAACAGGCTGCACGGGCCACTTTCAGGCCCGTGACGTTTTCAGGCCAAAAGCCTGAAAACGAGGGCCTATAGGCCCCCTGTCATTTCAGCCTGAA